ACCTTTAGGCAACCAGGGAGGCCCTCAATTTTAATTTCTTTAAGGTGGAGTGAAAACCATGATATACCCATGCCTCAATCTACATGCCTCAGTCTAATCACAGAATCTTTCATCACTATGATTTTTTTCTTTTAGGGTTGCATTTATATTTATTTAATAACAACAAACTTTTTCTGCAACTTTTCTCCCCCAAGTTTTCTTGAGTTAGTTTTCATATTCCCAAAACTCATATGCATATTTCCTATTCCTGTCACACTCGTGTTTCATTATTTATGCAATTGATGCTTAATTAAATACATAATTAGTAATAAGCAAACTGACATATATAGGTTGGGTATAAAAAGATTAAGGCTAAGGGCCCTCCCTGGTGGAGAAACAGGCTAGGATGCAGCACTGCAAGGGAGCCCCAGCCTCTTCAGTGTGAGCTCGATTCCCATCCTGGTCATGACCCACATGGTGCGGCAGACCTCTCGTGACCTTCCTGCTGCTCCCCTCAGCAGTGTACTTTGTCGATCTACCTGTTCTGCTCTCCACTCTGTCTCTGGTGAATCTGCTCACTGTCCCTACACTCTGACTCTTACCTCTGTATGCATAAATAAATAAATCTTTAAAAAAAATTTAAGGCTAAATGCTATTGCTGGAAGCAGAAACAAAATGCATAAATTCAGGGGAAAAGGTCAAGGAAGTAGTCATCAGTGTCTTTGTGGAGGATTTACTGACTCATCAAGCTTTAAAGACAAAGTTGGTTAAGTGGGCTATCTCTGTAGGTATAACGCGAGTTTGTAGGAGAAAATCCTACTTTTGCGAGAATAAATGGACATGTCTTTTATAAAAGGAATAATATCTAAACAAAAAATTAAGCATAATTTAGGTAACAAAGCATTGTTTCTTAATCCTGTGAAAACAGATCACATTTTGCTACTCTTCTCGACAACTTTTTTCAGCACTGTCATTGTTATGCTTTAAGATGTATTTTACTTTGACTTAAAATTTTGTTTCAACCTAAGAAATTCCCTTATGTAAAAGGCAAATGTAATCCTTGCCTCATGAAGATTATTTATCATTAAATACAGAATACCACCAGCTTTTTCACTGAAAATCAATTTGTAAATAAATGGTATAGTGAATTATAGAGTAATACATTAGTCATGGATAAATGAAGTTCTTAAAACAATTTTTAAAAACCTATTGACTAGAGAAATTAATGAGAAGGAAAATGATAAGTACCAGATGATCTCACTTATATGTGGACTATAGAGAAACCAAAAAAATGTCAAGAAAAAGTCAAAGCTAGTAAGCTGACCATAGATCTGAGGCATACAGCAAAGCAAGGGGCGAGGGGTGGGGGTGGCTAGCAGGGGAGAGAGGAATGTGGTGGTAGTTCATGAGTGGAATGTTGCTAGGAGAGCTATGGGGACCACAATGATGGAAGAAAAAAATTTTCAAAACTAATAAAAATAAAAATCTATGCTCTAAGATTTACTATTAGAACAACAGTGTTTACCATTTCTTAAAATTGTTCTGTTTAGTTTGAATGTGATTAAAATGATTTGGTGGGGGGGAAGGATGGTTGGTCTCCCTTTAGAAATTGTCAAGAAGAATCAAAAGCAGCTTAGCAAATAGGCAGAAATGGAAATGTGATATTTATCAGGGGAAATGAGGTTATGATTAAATAAAAGGACTCAGTACTCATGTTAGAAAATACCTTAATGGGGAGGTCATGCAGAAGGCCGCTCACAGTCATCCGAAACCTGACAACTGGGCAAGCCTGAAAGGGCCTGAGGTAGGAGAAAAGTGAGTCTGTTAGCATTTATTTATTTCTTCCGTCAGGGTCAACCTTCTGAAAGCCCAGCTCAATTAAAATCTTCAAACACTTGACCACAATACCATGGGAAAAGGAGACTTTTTTTCATTTGTGTACCTTTTTACATAGGAAGGCATAGTTTGTATGTGTGTGTGTATGTATGTATGTATATGTATATACACACATACATATATACAATATAGATGTGTGTGTGTATATATACACAATCAATATGTATGGCATATATATATATAATATATATATATATATATATATATACACACACACACACAATATGTATGGCAGGTCCTCAAATATCATGTTATCAACATCACTTCATTATAATGTAGATGAGAAAAACAAGACCCTCTGGTATTGAACAAAATGACCTTATTTGAGACGGCTTTCATTAGACTTTGTATCACTTAAAAATCACAGTATCCAAAAGCCTGTTGATGAAGTGAGGCCTTATTATGTATTAATAGAGGTGCCTGGGGGGAATTGAAGGATGGCCCTTTTAATTTCACTCTTTTATATATTGAAGCCCCTAATAAATGGTATTTTCAAGAGGCTCCCAGTGCAGGTGCTAATAACAAAGGACTTTCTGCAGGTCCAGTCGCAGAGGCTTTTCCATAGAAGTCAGTAGCAGAAGGCCAGGGCAAGCACCTCCTTCAACTGGACTACTTCTGAGCTTCTAAAAGCTCCCCGTGTGGGACTGTGTCCTTATACCACTGTTGGTGGCCAAGGGCATCCCAGACAGAGGTCCTCATAGCGCAGGAATCATCGCTTCACAAAGCGCAGAGCTTAGGAAGGGAGCAAGACAGAGGCTGCAGAAGGAGAGTGACAGGCACGGAGCCCACCCCAATGGGAGCACTGTCCCTCCTGTCCAGCAAAGCCAGGCCGTCCTCTTTTGCGGCTGTGTGTGGGAGCCTGGTTTTTTTGTTTTTGTTTGGATTGGCTATCCACTTTTCCTCTGGTACAGCCAAGCTCTTGTCAGCAGTGATTCTCTCCCTCCACCCAGGGGATGTGCTCAGTTGGAGTGTGTGGGAGTGAGTGGGGGACCTTTTGCCATGTTCTTGGGAGGAGCAAAGCAGTATTTCCCTTCGCTCCTGTCCATCATTTGTGCTAACCTGGATTTAACTCACTCTGTGAAAGTGGCATGCAGGAAGGAGACTCCTCAGACACTTGAGGTACGACTTTCTATTCTAGATGGTCCTGCCACACAGGAGCGTGGACAAACAGGGGCATCTTCTCAGCGGCAGCCAGGACTCAAGTGCCATAAGAAGGAACGGTCTGTGGATGGGGACCAAAATCTCAACTTAATTCTGTGGTCAAGTCATTAACTCCTCTGTATTTTCCTTCCTCACCAATGAGCTGGAACTCTATAGTATTGCCTTCAGAGGGCTGTTGTGAGGATGAAATACATTAAATTATACAAACACTTAGAGCCAGTTCAATGTTTAGCAAGTGTGTGTTACCACTTTTTTTTTTGGTTCCTCTGGCTGGAGCTCTGAGGAAGACTCCCAAGTCTTTAGATCACAGCAGCCACAAGCCAGTCTGTCTATGGAAACTCACTTTCTAAAGACACTGATTTCATATGAATTTTAGCTGCTGGTTATTCTTCTGAGAGGCATGAATGACAAACCTGAGCCTCTTAGGCAATAAATACAAGATATGCTGTCATGCACTCCCCCTGGCGGATGTGCCTGCTTTTGGTGTCCCTGGGCCTATGCTAATATGTTCTCTAAATTGTTGTCTAGACATGCATTGGGTGTTATGCTATAAGTAATCTCTTTATGAGGAAAGATGTTCTCTGTATGGTTGGTTCATTGTATAGAAAAAAAAAACCCTTCCACACCTAGGCAAGAATGATATCCTGCCATGTTGCAGTACTTCCGTTTAAATAAAAACAACTTTTGCTTTGTTCTACTGTACAACTGTTCCTATTCTCACCACTCACTATAGCTGTCTGCGCCAGGCTGTCTGCAGGCAGCAGAACCTGCGAGTCAGGATGTGGGAGTCACCATAGTTTGCCAAGTCTTCTCCTGGGTCTTATATCGGTCTATTAACTGTGTGTTAAGCAAATTTAGGGTAAGTGTTCAAATAAGATATTTGCCAAATTAACCTAAAGCAATACATAGGCAAGTGTGTTTTTGTTTTTTGTTTTTTTGCTGGTGAGTATCTTAAAAGTGCTTTGGAAAGGGTCTGTTTAAATGGTGCTTTAGTGCAACAAGAGAGAAGGCAGGAACCAACCAAAGCAGCACGTATTTTAATGCTATACCCAGATGTAGCAGACTTTCATTTACTAATCATGCCATTTCCTCTAGACATTGCACACACTTTTTTAATCCATTCTGAGGTAACTCTTACCATACCAAATATGATTTCACCCTGAAAAACAGTCTAGATAAGAGCTTCCATCTGGGTGTTTTTTTGGTTTTGTTTTTTGGAAGAAACAAGTGAATCAGAAGATTTGTGTACACTCAGAGTGACCTGTCCCTACATCAACAGGAACACCTACTTACTCTGAATGTCCATTTGTTTCCCGTACGGAAACCAACCATGACAGGTTTAACATTTCCTACTTTACTAATGGCTATTTCCTTTCTCCTTAGGCTCCTTCAGATCCTGACTCCAAGAAAAGGTTTTCTTTCTCTAATGAGCAGAGTTTAAGATTACTTGAAGATTAATTCTTATAATCTTTGACCCCTCTTCCCTAACTCTAAAGGAAGAACCAAGGCTTTCAAAAGGGACTAGAGAGAAAGAATACATGGAAGTCTTTGATTGACCTGGATGCAGGTCATCTGCTGTGGGCAGGGATTTGAAGCAGGCTGGAGGATCCCCTTGGCTGCCCGTGGCTATGGTGTAGGTGGGGAACTCAGACCACAGGTGACATGACTGTGAGTTGGCTTCCAGGATTGTTCTGTGTGGAGACTCCTCACATCCGCTCCTGTACCCATCTCCAGGAGGCTGGGAGAACAGCCTTTGCCCTTGCCTTGGGTTCTGACTACCAAAGGTGGCACTTAGGATTTATTCTTCAAGTTGAAAGCTGATTTGTGCATCCTGAAGGACCTATTATAAGGACATTGTTCCTATGCAAAATGCTGGAATGTATTTTGTCCCTTGTTCATTTGCTGTTCCATGCGGCATTTGCCTCCCCTTTCTGACGTGTTTCTTTGTTTTCTGTGTGTTGCAGGCAGCATAGTGTACCTCGGGATGATGGTGGGGGCGTTCTTCTGGGGAGGACTGGCAGACAAAGTGGGAAGGAAACAGTCTCTTCTGATTTGTATGTCTGTCAACGGATTCTTTGCCTTCCTTTCTTCATTTGTCCAAGGTTATGGCTTCTTTCTCTTCTGTCGCTTACTTTCTGGATTCGGGTAAGATTTTCCTTCTCCCTATTTTAAACTAATGTGTTTATTCTCCATAATTGTACATGTTTTTCACATTAGAGGACCTCAACACCAAGAAATCACCCCATAGTACATATCTTTTTCCATCTTCATGTCAGCCTTAGAAGCCCTAATGCTGATTCTTAGAAATGTAATTTGTTAACCTTTAGATCTGGAAAGGAAAGGTACACTTCTGTAATCTCATAGCTGATTGCTTTAATGTTTTGCTTCTAGGAAATGGGTGCTGTTTTAAATGGAACACTGTTCTTTTGCAGAGGACATTCATAAATGTATTTTTCTTCTGAAAATTTAATTTAAGCAAGAAATAGCTCTGGCCCTACCCCATTATGAACTAATTAAAAGTTTGAACCATTGAAACGTGCTCTTAAATCCAGGATAAAAGTGTTTCAAGTAAATGCTCTATTGATCTGTGTTAACAGCATGTTTAACCAGGTAAGAAGTCTGCTTCTTATGATATAAAGGATTCATCTTATAAATTCCTCTCTTTTGTTGAATTTACAGAAGTTTTTTCTATTAGCGAAAAGTAATGACATAGTATAGCCAGTGGTGGTCATTTTCTTTAAAAAGCTTCAGGAATTTATTTGTGTGAATCCACAAACTTAGAAAAACCCAATGGCTCAATTAGGGAAGTGTGAGAAAGTGCTTTCATGTGGAAAAAAAAAACATAGAAATATTAAATTTCTGATTCATGCTTGAGAATTTTACTTTCATTAGAGACATTCTGAGGGTACCTAACACAAAATGAACATGTAGTAATAATATTTTTAAAAACACAAAATAAAATAATAAATAAGAAGTAGATAGTACCCAGTTATAAATTTGAAAAGCTTATCAGTTGTGGCATGGTGTCCACACAGCAAAACAGTTTTGATGAGAGAAGATCAGAAAACTGTAACATGTCTTTCTTAATTACAAATAATAGTGCTTTAAAATTAGAACTAAGGTGAATGGGAATATAAAGCATTAGAGGAAAAGACTGTTGTTGGGTTGTAACTCCCCTAGGAACTTCCTGGATATAATCTATAATTGACCTTCAGAAAAAGGCCTAGCAGTCTATATTGGTAGGTGACTGTTTTAATGAACAAGGAAACATACTTACAAGGCTTTGTCTTAGATGACTGCATAATAAGAGAGTTTTCCACATCTGTCCACCAAGTCTTTAATGTTTCTATGTACACCATCCAGATGGTCTCAATACAATTCTATCTCAAGGCTGTGTCCTGGGAGTAGTTTGTGGGATTAGGGAAGGCAAGCAGAATACACTTTCCAAAGACAGGGGAGTGGGCAAGGAGCCTCAGTTGCCTAGGTCGAATTCACATGCCAACGGATAGTAATTTTCTAGTACTGCCTAACAACTATATAAGTGGTTGCTCCAAAAATAGAGTATTTCCCTCTGCAAACCAATGGTTACTTTGATTAATCCATTCAAAACATTTTTAAGTTTTTATATATTTTTTATCCTTAAGATTTGTGCACATAATGAGACTGATGGATGATCTATGGATATTTCTGACTTTTTTTTAACTTCTTAGAGTTGTGTATTTTCTGCACATAGTGAATATTTTGCAAAATATATGACTAAGTTACACACATGTTGGAGCATTCCTTAATACAAAAATAGATATTTGGAGAGTTTTTGAATGTGTAAAAATATTGGTCCTTGGGGAGAAAAATGATTGTTTTCATTAACTTGCTTTGTAATAATGGAGAAAGTGCCAGTTTTCCTCAGCAGAAGGGACACTTGGTGATCATAGATCTGTATAATATTGGCTATATATATTGCCGACTTAGAGAGGTATTTATCTTTAACTGAGATTGCAATAATTTCCAATACTGTGTACAATGTAGTGGAATAGGTTCACACCTTTTAGATGTATGTCACTACACCACACCCACCACCAAGATACGATAGTCCTTTACCATCGACCATTGGGTCTCTTTGCTGCTGAGTGAATTGAGACACCCAAACATTTTTAAGTTTTTGGGACTATTTGTTAAAGGATTTTCTCAGTGAGTGGATCCATGGGATAAAACATTTTTTCCACCAGGAAAGGCCAAGTGTTCCTTGGTCTTTCTCTTACCTTTCTATTCTATTCTGTTTATCTCCTTTCTATTACCTTTATAGTAACACTAGTCTGTATGGAAAAATGTGAAAAGTCTTCTGAACTTTCCAGTTCTCTCCATTTTAAGGCTTCCTTAGGAAGCTTCAGAAATATCCACAGACTTAAAAGTACCTGACTGTGAGCAAATTATGGTACTTTTAACCACTAATTTGGGTTTTGACATGGTCAACTCAATTGACTCCAGAGTAAATACCATTAAGGACAGAGGAGCTGAATAGACACTGCTCCAAAGAAACATAGAGATGCTAGCAGGCAAATGAAAAACTGTTCATTGTCACATATTACCAGGGAAATCAACTCAAAACCATAATGAGATAACGCCTCACTGCCATGAGAAAGACCAGTATCAAAAAGACAAGACAGAGCAAGTGCTGTGAGTATGTGGAAAGAAGGAATCCTCCTACACTACACTGTCATTGGCAGTGTAGATTGGTCCAGCCCTATAGAAAACTGTATGGAACATTCTCCAAGAATTAAAAATTGATCTTCCATATCACCCAGCAATTCTACCCCTACATTCATATTGCAGTACTAGTTACAATAGGAAAAGAAAGACAAATACCAGATGATTTCATTCATATATGAAATATATAGAAACAAAACAAAGAAACAGACAAAATTAAACCAAAGTAAACCCTGGAAATCTGACTGAAGCATTGAAGTTACCAGAAAAGGAGGCTGGAGAGTGGGGAGCAAATTGGAGAGGAAGCGACAGTGGTTGTTGGTTGGAAGTGTTGTTGGTTGTTGGTTGTTTGTGGTGCATGTAGTGTGGTAACATACATTTGAAGAGGTGCAGTGTTGTAAACCATTGTTACCTCAATTTAAAATGATACAACTTTAAAAAAGAAACTGTACTACCTAATACTACAAATGATGGGGTTGTTCAAAAGCTAATTCAAGGGCAGTACAGAAGCAGGTTGTTTGGGTACATTCATGATATCATCCTCTTTCCTGACATAGACACATCACTTTTCTGCCAGCATCTCAGGGCTACTGAATTCCAAATAACATAATTGGCCTGGCAAAGCACAAACTGTGTATTGCTAACTCAGCGAGGCTCTCTAAATTATGATGCCAGAAGCTAATGTACTTTGCCTTTGCTAAGTTGACACCAGAGCTCTGAGAGTACAGAAGTCCCTGTGGGGCCTGGGGAAAGTCATTGAGGCTCTCCAGTATGAGTTGTTTTTTTGTAAAAGGGACATTATAAAACTTTACCATCCTACCTTGGAGTGTGAGAATCAAGCAAGATTTGTATTAAAGTCATATGTAGCAGAGGAGGAACTGTGGGGTAATGCTTAGAAACACTCATGTAGCATAAGAGGAACTGTGGGATAATGCTTAGAAACACTCTGCCCATAGTTTAGTATTTCCTGTTCTCTCTCTGCTTTTCAGTCCATTCACTCAGCTAAGCAGTAATGCGCCCACTGCCTCAGAGTGATAGCCCAGGGAGAGGGAGAAAGGCCTGGTTTTTGTTTTTAAATCTCAAGTCTCACCCATGAGGGAAACAAAATGGCTAATCATGGCCAAAAGATTTGGGAGAAAAGCATGAGAGGAACTGAGAATTCCTGCCTTCTGGATGGATGAAGGTTCCCTAGACTGAGGAAGGGCTGAGGGGAAGCCTTATGAACTTACTCACCTGGGCCCAGGTGTCCAACGTCCAGAGTTTCATGGAACCCAGCAGCAGCTAGATGATGCAAATATTAAACCGTTAATGAAAATGAAGAATGTTCTATTAAGGAAGATGAAGAAAGTGCTCTTTCTTTCTAGTTGAGTAATTAGCCACCTTACCTACACATAGCATGCTACCTCAATGACACAGGGTTTCCCTCAGCATCCCTGAAGTTCCTCTGGATACCTGTCTCTGAACCTCTGGATCATAGGAACTCATCTCTGAGACCTGCTGTCAGCCAGGTGTCAGTTTTCTACAATTCCGTTACAGTTCAGTTCAAAAAACATTGTAGCACCAGCTCTACCCCCAAAACCATTCTGGACCATTTAATATAGGGGCCTAGGATAGCCCTTGGCCTCAAGATACTTCCAGTCCGGTTGTAGAGGGAAGACAGACAGCACTCCCTTTCTCCACCTGCTAAAAATTAGTTTCCAAAGAGAGGTAATGTCAAGAGGCCTGGGAGACTCACAATGACTGAATTGCAAGGCCAGTTTCCATATAAAGGCTGTTTTTAAAGGCATGTAATGTTTAAATCCTTCCACTCTCAAGCCCTATGAACTCGGTACATAAACGGATAGAGACTTCACGTGGTCCTTTTGTATTTAACCTCTCATTCCTAAAACACAAGCCAAAGAATTAAGACTCTCTTCCTGGAGAACCTAAGTAAGAGATCTTGTTAATATCTACTTAGCAAGGCATCTCTCTCCGTGTAGCTGCTCTGGTTTTTAAATGGAGGAAAACTAGATGGACATGGAAATAAGGTTTCAGTCCTCTCAGCATTAAAGGCGCTCTTCTCCCAGGGCCCTTTGAACTCAGGATGTGAGGCCTGTCCTACTGCTGCCAGCCCCAGGGACACACCACTGAACCCTGTTTTGTCCCTAGGTACCACTTACCCAAGCCTGGAAATATTTGCTTTTTATGTGTTAACCTCTCTCTTCCACCAGCACATAAATTCCAAGATGGTAGGATTGAGGAGCCAACTGGATTGCTCTTTACAGTTTAATAGACCCAGGCCAGGAGGGCATGGTTACTGTAAAGAGCTGCAATCAAAGCAGTTATCGAACAATCAGGGTGTTTCTAAAAGTAAAAGGAAGGTTACTGAATTCTTAATGAACCATGGAGGGGACGAGTTCTAGGGCCAATGAACAAAAGTAGAATCTGAATCATAAAAACGG